TTATGTTTGTTTGTGTTCTGTTTATACTCTAAAGCAGCGTGAGCTCAGTAACTAACTACTTACTCCAACTACAAAACCTAAACTCACCTTAGACTCCTGTATTTTGTTAGATGCAGTGTTTTTCCTAATGCACTTCCTAAATGTCGAGCCTGGTTTTCTCAAAGTACTGTTGCGGGAAGTAACTCCTTTTAACTACTCCAGTTCAGGTCAGGATAATCGAGATCAATCTTGCAACTGGTATCACATAACCCAGTACCATCTGTCACAAGCCCTGCTGCCTTGCAGAGTGTGCTCTTCTTAGGCAAAGGCTAGGATTAATAAACTACAACTAAAAATTCCCCTGACTTAAGGCTCTTGGTTGAGTAAAGGCTAGAGATGGTGTCTCGATAAAAACACTCATCTTGGGCAGATGTTATCATCCAGCTAAACATCCCCTGCCTTGGGGCTCTTGGTTGAGTAAAGGCTAGAGATGGTGTCTCGATAAAAATACTCATCTTGGGCAGATGTTAACTGCATCCAGCTACTGTCTTGTAGAATGCCTCCTAGGCAAAGATTTTAGGGGTAAGCAGAAAAATTCTGCTAACCAGCCTTGAACCCCTTCTTCATCTATTAGGCTGGCATAGATGTAACCTGTGTTACATTATTTCCTGCCTAGGATGATGAATGCTGGATCTCCTTGACTCTACTCATAGAATTTTGCTTATGACTCCTTGATAATGGCTATGCATCTCTTCCTGTTATCTCCATATGAGGGTACAGCTCTAAAACTCAGTTTAATGGTTCTGAGGCCGGCTGGTAGTAAGGTTTCCCAAACTCTGTGGTAGCTCTCAGAGAGGCTGATTCCATCAACAGCTGCAAAATATCAGAGTATTAACAGTGCCATAATGCGCATGGATTGTGTCCCTGTTAATGCTTTTGGTGTGCATTGTCAAGGCCACATAAGGAGCCCTATGTCATGGCTTAGGGATAATTAACAAGACTGAGACAACTGCATAGCTCATTGATTATGAGGCTGTGCTCTATCTATGAATGAGTCAAGTTCTCATTAAACCCAAATCATGACCAAAGTAACCAAAAATTGAAAACCTAAAAAACCATCCCCACCACCTAAATATTTTGATATATCTTTTACAAATATTTGCGGTCTACGAAGCAACTTTCGGTCAGTTGAGTCTTACCTCCTGCAAAATTCACCAGACTTGCTTGCACTCAGTGAAACAAATTTAAATTCTGCAATTCCTTCTTCAGATGTCAGTGTTGATAGGTACTATCCTTTGATTCGTAAAAACTCAAAAAGTCACATGCTAGGTTTAGGGGTATACATACGCATTAATTCTCCTATTTGTCGTGAAATTAGGTTCGAATCCTTTAACCATTCTTTTATGTGCTTTCGCCTAGCACTTCTTCACTCTATCACCTTTCTCTTTGTTCTTTATCGATTTTCTTCTTCCCATGATTGCACTCTCTTAGATGTTATCTCTGATCAAATTGACCATGCCCTCTCTCTTTACCCCTCTGCCAATATTGTTGTTGTTTGTGATTTTAATGCCCATTACACTGAATGGGTTAGCTTTAACACTACTAATCCTGCTGGCACTAAAGCCTTTAACTTCTGCGTTTCTCAATCTCTTACTCAAATAGTTAACTTTGTGACTCGTTTTCCTGACAACCCTTATCATTTACCTTCACTCCTTAACTTATGTCATGTCTCTGACCCTAGCTTATGTTCAGTTTCTTCCTTTTCTCCCTTAGGTGGTTCTGACCATGCAATGATCGCTATAAATCTTTCTTCTCAAACTTCTTTTTTGAGCTCACCTTATCATCGCTACCTACTACTACCCTAAAGCTAACTGGGATTCTTTTCTTGATTTTCTTTGTGATGGTCTTTGGGCTGATGTTTTTTCTCTTTCAGCTGACAAATGCGCTTCCTACGTAACCTCCTGGATTCAGGCTGGAATGGAAGCTTTTATTCCTTCACGTCGGTTTCAAGTCAAGCCTCATTCTACTCCATGGATTTCTCCTTCTTGTGCGGCTGCTATATCCAATCGTAATCATTTTTTTTATCTTTTTCAAAAGAACAACTCTCTTGAGAACAAACCGCTATTTATTATTGCAAGAAATCGATAAAAAAGGTGCTTTCTGATGCTAAACTCCATTATTCTCAGTTCACTAAATCTCGCATCATATCGCAGAAGTTAGGCTCTAAAAACTTTTGGAAAATCTTTAACAGCAAGGGTAGATCTAAAATTCCATCTCTCATTCATGGGACTGATCTTATTACCTCTACCAAGGATAAGGCAGAAATATTTGCAATAAACTTTTCTTCTAATTCCACTCTTGAATCTTGTGGACATTCTCTTCCTTCCATTCCATTCAAACAGGTTGACCCATTGTTAGACATTCAAATCACTCCGGCTTCTGTTGCTAAAGTCATATCACAATTAAACTCGTCTACAGCTTGTGGTCCAGACAACATACCTGTCACAGTCTTGCAGAATTGTTCTCCAGAACTTTCTTCAATTCTCTCTAAACTATTTAACAAGTGTTTGACTGAGTCTTGTTTTCCTGCTTGTTGGAAAATGGCATCTGTGGTTCCAAGATTCAAAAACTCTGGAGAAAATTCTGACCCCTCCAATTATCGTCCGATCAGTCTTCTTTCTGTTATTAGCAATGTCTTTGAGTCTTTGATCAACAAATTCCTCACACCTCATCTTGAGTCAAATAAACTGCTGTCAGACAATCAATACGGTTTTCGATCTTCTCGCTCTACGGCCGACTTGCTAACTGCTGTAACTGAAAGATTTTATCGTGCATAAGATGGAGGCGGTGAGGCTAGGGCTATTGCTCTTGACATGTCTAAAGCTTTTGACAAAGTTTGGCATGCTGGTCTTCTCCATAAGCTTGCTTCATATGGTATTTCTGGGAAAGTTTTTGAGATTATCAAATCATTTCTTTCTAACCGGTTTAATTAAGTCATCCTTGAAGGCCAACACTCTTCTTTATTTCCAGTAACTTCTGGGGTTCCCAAAGGTTCCAACCGGGGTCCTGTTTTGTTTCTTATCTACATAAACAATCTTCCTGACAACCTTTCATCTAAAGTAGCTCTTTTTGCTGATGACTCAACTTTATACTCCTGTCTTGACAAAAAATCTTCTCTTTTCGATTGCCTAGAACAAGCAGCTGATCTTGAATCCAATCTCACTTCAGTAATAGATTGGGGTTCACAGTGGCTTGTGAATTTCAACTCTAAAAAAACCTAGTTGCTTACTGCAAACAACTACCGTAATATGGTCAACATTCCTATATTAATAAATGGCAATCCTCTTACTGAGTCCTCCTCTTTACGTCTTCTTGGATTATCACTTACTACTGACCTTTCATGGAAACCATATATACAATCGATTGCTAAATTAGCTTCTGCTAAGGTTGCTTCTCTTTATCGTGCTCGCTATTTCCTTACTTCTGATTCTATTCTCTACCTCTACAAATCTCTTATTCGTCCCTGTATGGAATACTGTTGTCATATTTGGGCTGGTTCTTCTAACGATTCACTTTCTCTTCTTGACAAGGTCCAAAAACGCATTGTAAATGTTGTTGGACCTGGACTATCTGCTAAGCTTGAACCTTCTTTCTACAAATACTATCATGGTCACTGCTCAAAGGAGTTATCATCTCTAGATCCATCAACTAAATTTCATTCTCGTTTTACTCGTCATTCAGCTAAGTCTCGTTCGTTTACTGTATCTGTCCCTTCATGCTCTAAAAACTTTTATTCATCTAGTTTTTTTCCCCACACTTCAATCCTTTAACTCCCAACTTAATAGTGGTTGCTTGCAGCCTTGTTGGGAGTGAATGCAAATAAAAAAAATAAAAAAAAATTGACCATACCATTACATTATTTATATCATTTTAAAAGCTTATTGAATCATTCATACTTTTTATACTATTTATTATTCATAGATTATCCTGGCCATATTTTAAAAATCCGGAAATTTATTTTCCTCAAATATACGGAAAAAATCCGGAAAATTTTTTTGTAATATCCGGAAAAAATTAGGAATTTACAAAGAGATGTTAACAAAGGGGAAGAGAGTGTGCTCTCCTCCATCTTTTATATTACTATAATATTACGCCAGTTTAAAAGTATCCTTATTCAACGTATATATGAATAAAAAACTACATAACTTTTTTCATCAAAAAAGAATAATAATACCAATAAAATTTTAACAATAATAATAAGAAGAAGTAGATGAAGTTAAAGAAGAAAACTGTATTTAAAAGCTGTTAAACAATGCGGAAACTTTTTTAGACATGCTTTTATACATTTAAATACATAATGAATAATGAAATATTGCTTCAACTCACCAAAGATATACAAATAGAGAAACATTTAACGCGTTGTTACAGATCAGAGGCGCCACCATAATTGAAATCCCATAGGTGTTATTTATTTTAGCGTATGTAAAATAAATAACGCCTTACCTGTAAAACACCAACTTTTGGAAAATATAAATGGATTTTATTATAACTGTTTTCGGAGCATACTTCAATCGCAGTAAAAAGATAGGAAATAATAATAATAATAAAACACCAGACTTCTAAAATACAAAAAATTAGAAATCTTTAGTAATAAATATGTTAAAAAAGTAAAAAAATATTGAATTATTTTTCTGTAATACGTTATTTTTCTACAATTAGTTCTTCTACTCAGTGCTTAAAATGTTCTAAAGTTAATTTTTAGTACAACGATATCTTTTATTAAAAAATCTCCACATTCAAATTTTATAAAAGTTTAAACGTTCGTTAGATAAAGTTTAAATAAAAATTTTTAATTTATTTTATGATAAACAAAAGGTGAGGCATTATTAATGTTCATTATTAATGATTCACGTGCTCATTCATGTGATTCAAAATTTAAAAGATTAAAAAATATGATTTTTTTTTTAATTGAAATAAAATTAATTTTGACATGTGCTTTTTGAATTGAAAAGAAAACGTACCTCAAAATGCGATGTTTTTAAAAACCTTATAATGGCACTTAAAAGCAATTTGATTTACTTCTTTCTTTAAAACTACATAAAATAAAAATTATTTTTAAAATTATTAAAATTTTTAAAATTATATACTATATATAAAATTTTTAATAATTACATAAAATAAAATCCTTATAGTTTAGAATATAGTTTTATTATATAACACTTATTTGCATGTAATAACTTATTACTAACAAAGTAATTAATCTTAGTCAGTAATAATAAGTTTTTTATAAGTTTTTTTCACCCTTTACAAAAATAAGTTGTACCGCACGACCATATTACACCATAGTATTACAGTAACTGTAAGATTAATAAAAATTTCTACTAGTTGAAGGTCATACCAAATTTCTCATTCTTAGATCGAACTATACATTTAAACTCCTTAGAGATTTCACTAATTTCTAAGGAGTTTAAATTTAACAATATATCTCATATTTGACGGAAATTAAAAACTGATTTCTCTGACAGCTTTAGTATTATTCTACCATCGTCGTAACTTTTTAAATACCATCGTCAAAACTTTTAAAAGTCTCCAATTAATTAGAAAATATGCGAAAAAATGATATTTTCAAGAAGTGTGTACGAATAGAGACTTGCAATGGTACGACTGGACAGAAAACGAAATAATGATGTAGTAAATTTTGAACCACCGACAAACAAACAGAGAGAAGTTTCAGTCCATAAGCAAAGTGGTTTACTTAAAAAAAGTTTTGAAACAATAAAAAAAGAAATCTCTTTGCTAATAGCTAAAAAAGCTATTTAAAAAATGTAAATTTACAATTTTTTTTAAAAAGAGAAGAGTTTGACACGCATCGCTAATTTTATTTTAAAAGTAGGAGATCATTTGCTCTTTTGCGCTGGGATTTTTATTAAACTTTAATTAATATGCTTATTAATTTTTGGTTTATTCTGCGAGAGAAATCTTTTAATCTTTTTGACTTTGTTTGTTAACTAAATATAACGTTTGGTAATTTATGGACAACAAGTTTACTGTTTATATATACTTGTTACTGTTTCATTTGAATACAGTAATAAACAGAAAAAATTTGATAAATTGTATTTTCGGAAACTATTTAATTATCCGGAAAATATAAAAAGTTTAAAAAATATCTGGAAAAAGATAATTTCTGATTATTTTACTATCATCAGCATAAAGTTTAATAGGGTTTTGACTTGATATGGCAAATCATTAATGAAAATCAAAAACAGCAGTGGTCCTAAATTTGATCCCTGTGGTACACCACTGACAACTGGTAGCCAATCTGAGACAGTGTCACTGAGGACCACTCTCTGTTTTCTGTTAAAAAGTTTTTTATCCAACTTAGGTTATTTCTTATGACAGCATATGATTGAAGTTTAGCAATCAAATAAAAGTGGAGTATTTTATCAAAAGCTTAGCAAGTGGAAAAATCCACTAATTACAGAATATTTATTAAGAAAATATAGTGCAGAAAAAACTAAATTTTTTAATAAAGACAAGGGAGAAAAATATAAGCAACACACATTTCTATGACAAAATTTTAATTTAAAACTTTAAATTATTTAAAATCTTTAGCTAAATATAATGATTTAAATTTATATAGCAAGGATGATTAAATAATGATGAATAAAAATCATATCAAATTAAATGAAATAAATCAAAAAATAGATATAAAACAATAACTTACTAAATATATTGTGAAGTAAGCCTGGATCTAGCCTGTAAAACCAATACTTAGGTGACACCAGTTACTAAAGTTACAATAATAAACCAAAAACACAACATTAAATTAGTTCCTTATTGATTAAACTTTTGAACAAATTGCAGTTTTTGCTAAAAATGTAAATAAAAATTATGATTTATTTATATATTAGGTAAATACAACAACAACAAGCTATTTATTAAAATCATAATAATTACAATTATAATAGTAATAATAACAATAATATATACTAATAATATAAGATAATAAAATTAATACAAATTACATTAAAAGTAGTAATAAGAATGTTTACAAAATTACAATGAAATAATAATAATAAATATTATAATGTTAGTTATAAGCATAAAGTTATTTGTCATAATAAATTGATTATTTATTAGGATGGTGTCACTCATACGGAAATCTGATCAAAGGAGTGACACCAACTTTTTTTTATTGCCAACTTATTTCTGAGTAAAGTTAAGAAGGGTAACTAGATCATATGGGCATTATGGTAAACTTTTCAAAAACTGCATTTTAATTAAGCGAAAGAATATTTACTTTTATTTTTTACTGCAAACTTATTTTTAAGTGAGTTACAATTAGTTTTTAAAAGCATATACTTTTTAAGTATATTGTATTTATTTAAAGTAAAAATAAAAGTGTGGATGTCATGACATATTTGACATTTTATAAATTGTCAAATGCTATTTCTTAAAAAAAGAGATCATACTTTAGTTATCAAACAGAAATTTGACAATTTCAATATAATATTAAAAAACTTTATTTTCAGCCATGCTAGAAATAAATATTTTTTAATATACTTGTTCTAATTGCCATCCTTAATGATTATTTTAATGATTAATTTTTTTTAAACTTTACACTGTCTTGACGCTATAGGAAACTTTTAATATTAATGAGAAATTATTTAACTTAGTTCAATAAAATGTTGTATGTTATATGGAAAAAAAATCTTAAACTTTAGAATATTATTTTATTTCAATAGAAAAATTTGAAAGTAAATGAAAAGTATCTTTTTTTTAACCTGTGTATATTTATATTATGATTTATTTATAATATTTTAATATTATTTAGGATACAAAAGTATATAGAGTTATAACTTTAAACTAAGGACTTATAAATTATAATATAATTATTATTATTATAATATAATATAAGCATAAAGAGTATATAGAGTTATAACTTATAACACTGTTATAAGTTATAACTCTATATACTCTCTATGCTTATATTATATTATAATAATAATTATTATATTATAATTTATAAGTCCTTAGTTTATGTTATTAACGGAGCTTATAATATAAACTTTGTTATCAAAACGAATTTTTTTATTATATTTTTACAACGATATTCTTAACAAGTAAAAAAAATATATATTTAAACTTACAACTATCCAAAATTTACAATGTTTTAATATTAAAAGCTAGCACACTTGTAAGCTCAACTTTTTTTTAATGCAAAATGAAAAAGATGAAATCTTTAAAGAGAATTTATTACATAATCACATTTATTATTGGTCATTAAAACAATAGCACACACCCATTTACTGAGAGCCTTCTCATTTTACTTCAGAGCCTTCTCAATTTACTCAAGTTACACTTTAGCTGCGATTTATATCGGATCTATTTGTAAACTTACATGTTATTAAATACCTCCTTTCTTCAAAAATTTAGATATTGTTCGTATTATTGCGACGGAATACGAATATAGTACGTATAATTTTAATTGGGTCACAGTTTTAGTTACTTTATATTAGTTTACTTTATTTGGGTTATTTTTTAGTTGGGTTACAACAATTAGGATAGACGATATTTCTTCTGACATTTTTTCTGAGAAATTTGGGAAGTTTGACGAGAAAATTTTGGTTATTGCGTTTATACATTTAAAATCCACCGCAGCAACTATGTTTCCGCGGCTTTTTTTTTTTTGTTTTTTTTTTAAACATCTTCGCTTCTAACAAGGCTGCAAGCAACCCCTAATTAGTGTTGGAAGTTACTGGAAGAGAAAATATGAAGATTGTAGAGCAAGATAACGACTGACAGACAACTTAAAAGATTGCAAATAATATGAATCAGGAAAGCAAGTGAATTCCAAAGAACTGATATTCGAGGAAAAAAGCTAGACAAATAAAAGTTTTTTTAGCACTTAGAAACAGTAACGAAAAAAGGATGAGACAACTGAATGACGAGTAACACGAGAATGAATTTTAGTAAATGGCCCAAGAGACGTTAGCTCTTTAGAGCAGTACCCATTATTGTATTTGTAGAAAAGAGAAAGAGAAGCAACATTACGACGCTGTGATAATAGTTAAAAGTTGGTTACAAAAGCAGGTCCAACTATGCTTACAATACGTTTTTGCATCTTGTCTAAAAGAGACAGGGTATGATTAGAAGATCCGCCCCAGATATGGCAAAAGTATTCCATACAAGATTGGATTTGAGATTTATAGAGATAGAGAGTAGAATCCAGAGTAAGAAAGTGTCAAGCTCCATAAAGAGATGCAACCTTAGCAGATGCTAATTTTGAAACGGATTTGATATATGGTTTCCAAGACAAATCAGAAATAAGAGTTAATCCTAGTAGATGAAGGGTACATGATTCATCAAGTACATTACTGTTTATCAATATGGAAAGGACTAAATTATTAAGATAACAATTGGCTGAAAAAAATTGAGTTTTATCTGAATTAAAGTTCACCAGCCACTGTGAGCCCATGCTGTAGCAGAAGTGACACCTTTTTCAAGCTCAAATGCCCCCTCCAAGTAATCAGAGAATTTTGGCTTCTTATCATGGTAAGAATAAATGGTAGTATCATGAGCGAACAATGCCACCTTAGATGTGAGAATTTTTAATATATAGTATGGAAGATTGTTAATGTAAATTGAAAAGAGTATAGAGTCAACGATTGAACCTTGAGGAACCACTGAAGTTACATAATAAGAAGAAGGTGCTGTCCATCAAGGACAACTTTTATACTACGATTGGAAAAGAAGGATTCAATAATCTTAAAGATGTTTTCAGATACACAGTAAGAAGAAAGTTTATGGAGAAGACCAGCATGCAAAACTTTATCAAACGCTTTAGAAATATCAAGAGCAATGACCTTAATCTCTCTACATTTATCTAATGCACGATAAAACCTATCGGTTATTACTGTTAGTCTCTCTCCCGTAGAACGAGATGATTAAAATCCATATTGATGATCAGAAAGTAAGTTATTAGATTCATGATGAGAGATTAAGTGTTTGTTAATAAAAAATTCAAAAACCTTGCTTAAAATAGGAAGAAGACTAATGGGAAGATAGTTAGACGAATCAGATCGCTCTCCAGAATTTTTAAAAATAGGGATAACAGATGCTGCTTTCCAGCAGGCTGGAAAACAAGTTTAATAGTTTTGAAAGGATAGGCGACAGCTCCGGAGAACACTTCTGCAAGACAGGTATGTTATCCGGGCCACAAACAGTAAAAGTTTCTAAGCAGGAAACCACTTTAGATACAGAAGTTTTAATTAGGTTTTTATAGTAGCATCATAATTAAAAAAAAAAAAATTAGAGGAGGAAACAATAGGAAGTTTATTGACTTTTTTTACATCATTTTAATTAGTTTCTTACAAAAGTGGATTGAAAAAAAGTACTGTTTTTTTTGGATAAATAATTTTTGAAGCAATTTCATAAGCAATAGTGATGGATATTGAAATAATATGCATTCCACCTTATAGGAGACACTGCCTTTAACTATTTGACACACTTGTTAATAAAGTAGTTGAAGTGCCTTCAACCACTTGACACACATTTTGATAAAGTAGTTAAACATATGTGGTCTTTGGCCTTTTCTAAATGTTTAGTTGAAAATGCTAATATTTCTATGCCTCGTTGAAACTTTCACATTAATTTTAACAAATCATTACAGCCTTCACGTTATTGTTTACAAAATATGGCCCAACATACTTACAAAAAGAGGATTGATTATTAATGCGTTTTACTATTGCGGTTTGCAACCCCTAAAAAATACAGTGATAGATTTCAAATACAGAAAAAAAAGAAAAAGAGATAATTAATAAAACAAAATTTCATCTGCGAGACCCAAAATTATCTGTTTTAAGGACTATTGTATCTTCCCCTGAAAAAAAGCAAACTTACTCATTCAAAACGCCATATTGCTCTTACAACATTACCAGATAATGTTAAGTTTATAAAAAGGCTAAAAAGCTCTAATAAAAAATGTGGTCAGTGTTAAACAGAAGTCAAAATAAAAAAAAATAAATCAGTCAAAACAAAAACAAAAGACTCATTTTTCAGCTAATTCTGATCACCCAACTTCATCTATTGGTTTTATTCTAAAAAATAACACTAATAAAGACTTTTGTTGTGCTTGTGTAGTTTGGGGAGAAACAAACAAAGATTGGCTTAAATATTTAAGTTGGCATGTGAAGGATGTTTTAGAGTTGATGCATGTGGAAAATGTGTGCAAAAGACATATAAACGTCTGGTAAGTTTTTTAAATAGTCATAGCAATATAATTTTTGTTATTGCTTTAACGTGTTATTTTGTGCGCTAGCGCGATAAGACGGTTTTCATTTATGCCAAAATTATTATTTGATATTTTCTAGAAAAAGTTTAACAATTGACATGTTTTTAGATGTTTTAGAAATCAAGAAACTGACTTTCAGTAACTCTATCTTGTCGTTTTTTGAGGGTAATTCCATCTGTATTTATCTGTAGGCTATTAGTAGTTCTATCTACATCACTTAGAGGATTACTGTTCAGATTACGGAAATCATCTTACATTACTCCAAAAATAATGCTTTATATCAAAGTTTTTTTTCTTCTAAGGTAAGCTGTCTTTACCACTAGTACGGAATTTTATCTATTGCTCAAGTGATGTATTTTTTAATTAGTTTAGTTGTACTGACGAATTCGCCACGTAATTGACGAATTCGACTATCATGACTTGATGATAAAAAAATCAAGTTCAACGCTAAAGTAACTTTAGAATTTATTTTGATTCAATACATTAACAAAGTATAGACCATAATTAATAAAAAAAATGCTTTTAAACTAGAAAAGCTTACTTATTTATACGCAATCTCATTTTGTTAAACTAAAACATGACGAACTCGCCCCGCCTTACCCTATTTGTTTTTAATATATTCGTCTAATCGTTTTTTAAATGTTTTCACTGATGTATATAGCACGATAGCCGGAGGAAGACAATTCCATACAGTGGCTATTATTTTCAAAATAAAATTCTCTCTTAATGAACAACATTCCATTATTCGTTTTTTTTTAAATCAAATGGGATTTCTTCTGCATGCAGATTTTTCCATTAACTCATCAGATTTTATTACAATTATTTTGAGTGGAATACAAAATGACGTTGCACAGTTTTTTAGAATGTATGAACTTTGCACAGTTTTTTAGAATGTATGAACTTACGTCATACGTTCTAAAAAACTGTCACATGAAATTTCGTCTACAATTGGGGTTACGTTTTTACCGTAAAATTTTACGGTATAATCAGTAAATGCAAGAAAAACATCGAATTAAAAAAAACGAGTTTTACTGGACAAAAAAACTTAATTAAAATGGTTCTTATGAAAACATTAAAAAAAAGATTTATTTATAGGATACGCTGTATAGTTTTATTTATTATATTTTGGAATTATTTTAAAAAAAAGTTTAGAATAACTCAGTAATAAAATAGAACCATATTATTTTAAAAGCATATCATCAGTATACAAAGGATATGCACAGTCCGAAAACATCATTTTGAGATAATGAACAATTAAGTTTTTGAATAATAGTTAAAATAATAAGTTTTTCTGTATTAGTTGAAATTAAAAATTTTAATAACTCATTAATAATTGATTTATTAAAATTGTGTGGTATTTCAAACGATAAAGAATTTAAAATACTAAATAGTGGTATAAACAACTCCATACTGCCACAAATGAACTTAGGGTCGTATGTTTACCGACAAAATGTTAGTTTAAACTTGTTTTTTTCTTTCGAAGCTTGACACGGCATTCAATTAAAACTTTTTAAAAATCAATGAAATGCTTTCTAATTTACTTAAGCTTAAAATCATTAATTGTATATCATAAATCCATTCATGCGTGTATTACTCCATTTATTTATTATGAAGTTTGCTGTTAACAGTTTTGTTTTTGATATTTTAATAAATTAGACGTTTAAGTTCAGTTTTGATGTTTCATTTTGATAAAGATCACAAGCATTTTCCTGAAACATTTCAATGCAGTTGAACTTCCATCTATTTTATACTCTATAATATATCACGAAACATTTCAATGCAGTTGAACTTCCATCTATTTTATACTTTCATGATGTATCACGAAACATTTCAATGCAGTTGAATTTCCATCTATTTTGTACTCTATGATGTATCACGAAACATTTCAATGCAGTTGAACTTCCATCTATTTTATACTTTCATGATGTATCACGAAACATTTCAATGCAGTTGAATTTCCATCTATTTTGTACTCTATGATGTATCACGAAACATTTCAATG